GAAGCCCCCGAAGTCCATGAAGGGCTCGGCAGGCGAGGCGCTGCCCCTACCCGCAGAGGCTTACATCCCACCCGAGGACCTACGAATGCTATTAATTAAGAACTCCCTTAAAACATGAACATCTTCTTCCTTATGAGGGTAATATAGGTTTTTTCTGTTTTTCTGGGTGGGGGGGGTTCTGAAGCAAACATGAGAGGACGTGTTCATTTCCATTGCGGGCGAATACCGCCACTTCAAAGAGTCCAGGCGGTATCATTCCCTCTTTGACTCAGCTTACAGCCTTGTCCTACACGGCCACGGCCGCTGGAGCTATCGCCTCATGGAGGTTCTAAACGGCCAGGCCATTCCGGTGATTCTGGCCGAGGGATGGAATCTCCCATACCAGGACGGGCTATCATACCCTATTAACCTCTAAACAAGGCCCTTTCATAGGGTTCATTATGGAGATGATAGGGGGCCTAATGGCCCATCCTGGTATCAGGAGCTCATCGACTGGGATCAGATTTCGCTTCGAAGGCCCGAATCCCTTGGCCTCGATCCTCGCAAGCTCATCGAGAGCCTCCCCCGGGATCAGCAACTCGGCCGGCCCTTGGGACATGTTTATAGTTTCCCGTATTGGGTTCAAGGGGGATCATATTCGGGAATATTTTGTTCAGAGTTTCGTAAGGGCAAACCAGAGGCAAAGAATCGAATCCACGAGGGAGCGTGTGCGCGAGGTCTTCGAGAAGTATTTCAAGACGCACCAAGGCCGACTTCATGCGATGCTTCGCTCCGCAGCCATTTGGAAGCAAAACTGGCAAAGGAACGAGAAAGAGTCCCTGCGCCTGCTGGCGGATGCGTATCATGCAAAGGCCGCCGATGTCTTGCATCATCTGCCTGGGGGACACACGTGAAGCGGCCGGATGGAGCCAAAATATCTCGAGAAGCAGGCCGCGCAGGAGTGTGCAAACTGAAGACTGAAGCTCCAGCCGGGAGTTCAGCGAGGCAAGGGACCCGTTTGCCTTTGAACCGGCACAGTCCTGGAGGTCTTCTCCCTTTTTCTTCGCACATGCACTTAAGATTGGCCTGTTGGCCAGTGGTGTTTTCGGCATCTGGCTGAATTTGAGCCCGGGGACAGCCAACTTCTTCGACATTCTGATGGTGGAGCCTCTTTCTCCGCTCTTTCCTCTCTGGTAGGGCCCTCGAGGGTAACATGCGTAGGATTGGCGAGGGCAGGTTCCCCTCGAGGTTTGTCAATGCGTCGACCTCTCTGATCAGCAACATAGCAGCACCCTGACTGAGAACGCGTGCAGGATGTGGCAACACGGGCATTTCCCCAAATAGGGGGTAATTACCCTTAATACACCCCCAAAATAGTATAATCCTTATTATAGTATAGGAACCCCCGAAAGGGTACCCCTATTTGCGGAAGCCGCCACATGTATGAGTTTGGGCTCGGACAATGCCCGGTCTCAGAAGAGAGCAGGCCAGACGCGGCCGTAACAATTCAAAATCCTGGCCTGGTGCATGACACAGAAGCGCGCAGACAAGGCTCTGGCATGTCATTGGAGCCACTGGAGCCACTGGAGGCTTTCTATTAGGGTTTAGGGTTTAGGGCTTAGGGCTTAGGGTTTAGGATTTGCTGCAGCCAGCCGCATGCTGAAAAAAAATTGTCAGCTGATAACGAGCCTGCCGTTTGCACCGCTTGTGTGGGACAGGCGGAGGACAAAGAAACCCCAAACCCTCAACTCCTTTCTCTCAACCATATGGACCCCAAACTCCTGAACCCCTAAACCTTATTGATCCTAAACCCTCAAACCCCAAAATGCCTTGGCATCTTGTAGCTTGCGGCACAGGCGGCTGCTCCTGTGGAGCAGCCGCCTGTGAATGCCACCTACGACGCCTCTGAGGGCCAAACTGGGCCTTGTACACCCAGCAACCCCAACACGGCGTTGAGACCTGGGGTTTTGGGTTTGAAGGGTTTGCGTTTGGGGTTTAGGGGTTTAGGGTGTAGGGATTTTGGGCTTGTGGCTCCAAATATGGTGCCTTGTAGAAATGCTGCTGGCTCGGAAAATTTGTGCTTGCAATGCCTCGTGCTCCTCAAGGTTTCGAGTATTCTGAGGTGCTGCCTGTGGCATTCAACTGGCCGCCTAACAAGCCTAAACCCTCAACCCTCAACCCCAAACTCTAAACCCTAAACTTAAGCCTTAAAACCCGTAAACTCTTTCGTGCTGATAGGAAGCTGCTGCTTCGGGTGAACCCACCGCGCCTCAGCCGGACGCCGAGACCCAGGACGGCGACAGCTGGGGGGGAGGGAGGGGGGGGGGTAGGGTTTAGGGTTTGGGTTTAGGGTTTAGGGTTTAGGGTTTAGGGTTTAGGGTTTAGGGTTTAGGGTTTAGGGTTTAGGGTTTAGGGTCTAGGGTCTAGGGTCTAGGGTTTAGGGTTTAGGGTTATAGGGTTAGGGGGTTTAGGGGTTTAGGGTTTAGGGGTTAGGGGTTAGGGTTTAGGGGTTAGGGTTTAGGGTTTAGGGTTTAGGGTTTAGGGTTTAGGGTTTAGGGTTTAGGGTTTAGGGTTTAGGGTTTAGGGTTAGTTATCCATCCAACCTTGCCTTCGACCTAACGCTAGCCGACCGCAGCTTCTACTGGGGCTGCGAAGCGACAAGGAGTTGGAGGTGGCTTTTGGAGGGCGCATGGAGCCTCAAAAATTCGGGCACACATGAAGTTTAAAGGGCACAGAGTTCTGATGCGTTATACATGAAGTTTAAAGGGCACAGAGTTCTGATGCGTTATTGTTGTTCCGAGGGTAGTATCAGGGGCCCTGAATATGGTCCCCCTTTCCTTCCTTAACGGGTTCTGTTTTATGGGCGCTTAGTTTTTGTAGGGTGTACAAGGCGTATATAAGGGGTCACCGTTTAAGGCCCCATACTAACTGACCATGAAACTACCCTAAGATTTGTTCCATGGGAGCTCCCGACCCACTTAGGGCCCTGAACCCAAACCCTAAACCCACCAAAAAGACCCTAGAACATGAACCCCCTAAGCCCTATCAACCCTACAAAGCCTAAACCCCTAAACCCCTAAACCCATAAACCCAAAAACCCATAAACCCAAAAACCCATAAACCCATAAACCCATAAACCCATAAACCCATAAACCCATAAACCCATAAACCCATAAACCCATAAACCCATAAACCCAGCACAGATCCCCGGGACCCCACCTGCCCCCTCGGAGGCGGAGCCGGAGGCGTAGAGTGACTGCAAGAAAAGCTGGCACACCGAGCCCTCCTCCTCAGCTTTGGGGAGCCCTAAACCCTAAGCCCTAAGCCCTAAACCCGAAACCCTAAAACTAAACCTCAAGCAGGTGAAGTGCTTTGGCCCTCAGCCCAGGGTCCTGCGCCTTTATCGAAGCATCTACCCACGAAGCCCACTGACTTGGGGTCCTTTTCGGTGGCCTTTTCGTAAGAAATCCGGTTCTGAAGGTTATATTCCTGCAAGGGAGGAACCTAAATCCAACAGTCGCAGTGCTAGAACTCGGCAAGGGTAAAACCTTTAGGTGTTTACAGTTTCGGGTAGTGCACGAAGTTGCATGCCAGCATAATAATTTCCGTTAAGGGAGCGCTGGGTTGCTCGGGCCGCGGACAGTGCCTCACATGCGTCGTGAGCGTGAGAGACGGCGCAGCGTGAGAAATTGGTCCGAGCCAGGGCATGCCGCCTTGCAGAAGAACCCTTTACGGTTCTGTGTTAGAAAGGGGTTGCTCGTAGATGAGTTACCACATAAGTGGGGCTGCAAACTTGCTGTCGGAAGGTCCAGACGTCAATTTTTTGTCAGTTCTCAAAATTATGGTCCCTTTTGGGGAGGGGGCACCGGCCGCCTTACAACAGCAACCCCAAAAGGGACCATAATTCACAGAAGCGACCCTAACCAGCCTAACCACCCTGCAAACGCCCGAAATCGAAGAAAGCTCTGGACTGAAGGTCTGAAGCCCTTATCTCTTGAGCCACGAAGATTGCCCTAAGTATCCCGAAGTATCCCTAAACCCTCAACCCTTGATCCTAAATATCCCAGCACCCGACACCCTAACCCCCTCCCTAGCCTTCATGCTCGTCAAAGAAGGTCGCCAGCTGGGCATGCTCCTAGAATCCTTTAGGGTTTAGGATCCTACCGTGGTGCCTTGTGTTAGAGTCTGTTAGAGTCTGTTAGAGTTAGGTTCTCTTACAAAACAGCATTGCACCACACACTACATGACACAAAGCTTAAGATGTAGGGGCGGGTTTCCTTTTAGACACCCTGAAAGCATGCTTTCCTAGGTTACAATGAGGGCCCTTGGGCTTCAGGCAAAACAACCAGTCCTGGAAGAATCTCAGGGTTTAGGGCAAGGGACGAGTTCTTCGGTTTGAGGGCCCGTACGGCACCTCTTATTTTCTTAAAACTTGCGCCCAATACGCTCGGCTCCATGGAAGCTGTCGATGTCCTTTTAGTTGGGTAGGCGAGTGATCTTTGAGCGGTGCAGCCACGCCGGCTCCTTGGATTGGAAGATACCCTAAACCCTAAACCCTAAACCCTAAACCCTAAACCCTAAACCCTAAACCCTAAACCCTAAACCCTAAACCCTAAGCTGTTTTGCTTTTCGCTTTGGCGGTGTATTGGTCGAGGACACGCAGTTTTGCACATGCGTGGCCTGAATCCCCTGAACCCCCTCCACCCCGACATCTGAGTTCAACTCTACAGGACCCAAAGAAAAAAGAAAGAGGTGGAACCCTAAACCCTAAACCCTTGTGCGTGTGTTGGTGACGCTGCTGCATCGTCGTAGTCCCGAACCCACATCCATCACGCGAGTGGATCTGCGGCAAGCGGCCCGGCAGCCCTACAACCTAACCTTGATCATTTTATGGCTTAGGGGTTTAGGGATTTAGGGTTTAGGGTTTAGGGTTTAGGGTTAGGGTTTAGGGCCCTAAACCCTAAACTGCAAGTACCGGCGGTTTCGGAGCTCGAAGTACTCATTCTCGGCATCGAGGCACGATGGACTGGCCACCGCCGGAGATGAACTACAACACCAAGCACTTTGACAAGTGCCCTCTTTAGGGTTTAGGGTTTAGGGTTTAGGATTTAGGGTTCCCATCATTGGGTTTGTTCGGACTTAGGTTTTTTTCAGTGACTTTGACAAGTGCCCTCTCAACCCATTTTCTTGGGCACGTGCGTAGGTTTTCGTTGGATCCGAGTCCTATCTCAGAAGCTTCACATCCTTGCGCCCACTTTGAAGAATCCGCTTAGGCCTTGCAGACATAGAACGATTGACGTACTACCCTTTGTCTCGACACACGCAACCCACTCATTGTATTGCTCCCTTTTTGCGGCTCCCTCTTTGGTGTGTGTTTGTGTCTTCTTGTTCTCGGGCTCGTGTCCGGCAGCGACTGCAGCACGAGGCCCTTCAGCACACAGCTGTCTTTGATCTTTTAATTTAGCTGCTGAGGAGGCAGCATAAGCCCAAACCCTAAACCTCAGCTAAAACAGGGAGACAGAACATGTGAACCATGCATCACATACCATGTCCCCCCTCCCCCCCTGTATCCATGGGCCTGCTATCCCACCCAGAGCGATCCCACCTGTTGCCGGCGATGCTATTCATGTCTATAACCCTTGGCCAGCCCAGCCTGGAGGGTCTCCTCGTCTCCATCGCTGCTGCGACCCCGAAATTTGAATGCCCTGAATCTTCGCATCTTTACACACTGGGTTTTAATTAAAATTTTGGCCGGTGCATCAGTCAGTTCACACCTTTTTCGGGCTTAAGCAAAAGCGGGGGTTGTTCACAAACATCTTATTCTTTGGGGTTTGGGGACTTCACCCCGACGTCCGTGGATTCCTCGACCCATCGGCACCTTCCAAGCCACCAGGTATCACCACATCATTCAGTATGCTCAGCCGGGCGAGGCACGCGGTTGAGTTCTTTTTGTCGGGGTTTGGGGTTTTCGGTTTAGGGGCTTAGGCTTTCAGAAGGGTTTAGGCTTTGAATTGCAGTAATTAGGGTTTGGTCAAACATTAAAGTTTAATTGCTTGCTGGTTCTTCGTTGGCATTAGGAAGTGGGTGCCCCGGAAAGCTTGTCTTGGTGAAGTCTAGCTGGTTTCGCGCACCCAGGACCCCAGTGTTAGCCTGCATGTGGGGGGGGGGGTGTGGGGTGGGGGGGGGGGGGGGGTGTGGGGGGGGGGGGGGGTCTGGGGGGGTGGGTGGGTACACGAGTATTTCTGCGTTTTGCCTCTTTGACGGCATAATGGAACAAGATGCGCTGTCACAAGCGGTCAAAAAGGATCGATGTTTGTCGCTTCTGCAACAAGACGCGCTGTCACAAGCGTTCATGTCTGTTGAGCATGTCTAAAGCACTGGTATTTACGGCGTTTTTGATTCTTTCCACAGCATGCTGCACGAGGTTGTTTGTGCTGTCAGAAGCGTTCGAGTTTTTTTGCATTAACATGCAGTAAGACCACTCATGAACCGAAAAAACAGCCAAACCCCTAAACCCTAACCCCTAACCCCTAAACCCTAAACCCTAAACCCTAAACCCTATGCGGCTCTAGCAGCCATTTTGGAGTTTCTTGCTGAGGCTTGCGAATGCTGGGTTTAGGGTTTAGGGATCCGCGTTCCTTTATCGATTTTGGGATGCATGCTGAGCGCCTTCCTCCAGGCAAAGAACATCAAAGTTTGCCGCTGCTGGCAGTCGAAGCGATTTCCGCAACATGGCTTGCTGTAGATTTGGGATGCTTGGGCGGCCTGCTAAGCCCCGAACCCTACATGTCAAAGCGGCTTGCCGCAGATCGGCTTGTGGGGACTTGGAGACATGTTAGAAGAAGGCCCGTGCACCGGAAGGCCTTCACACCATGTCTTCTGAGCCCCAAACTACAAAACAAAAAAGAGGACCCTCTCGAGTCCACTCCGAACGCCCTGAGGCCACCCTCACTAACAAATTGGGCTCCCACCCTTCATTCACCTGCGCCCTTTTGAAGAACGAGGATAGGCAAACCTGCATCTAAGTTGTTCGGATGGTGGGCGGAGCCCATAGGCCGAATGGCGAATGGAGACTGAGAAATGGGAGTTGCATGGTCCCGCAATATGGTCCCTGGCCTTTCTACAGGTTCGGAAGTATGGGCCCCTTGGGTCGTACGCGGTACATCAGGGGTATATAAGGGCTCCCCAGCTAAGAGCCCATGCTATGCTCAGCCCTCTCGGGCAAGCATGTGCTGAGGTACTGCGATGATACCCACAAGGTGCTTATCGAGGCTATGACATGATGCACCGGTCTAGGAACCCGGTATCCCACCTGCAGTATGTCTGCGTGAGTCCTAGAACTTTACATTGAAGCCCTTCACCCTAAAACTCGTAGACCCTAAGCCTGAGACCTTGAAGCTTAGATCCTAGACCCCAGCTCTAAAGAAGATAAGCCCTCAACCGCAACAGTCACGAAGTCATCAAGGCAACAGCAACGCGGGAATCGCCGGAGCTTCTGCGGAACACGTTTCAGGAGGATAAGATAGGAGTTTAGCATTGCGGGAGTTCAGGGTTTGGCTTGGGGGTTGAGAAACTGGGCTTGTTCCTAAACCCTAAACCCTAAACCCTAAACCCTAAACCCTAAACCCTAAACCCTAAACCCTAAACCCTAGGAGCTCAAAGAAACCAGCCCAGGCCTACGACCAAGCAGTGCTAAGACCGCAGAGCCTTCAAGCCCTCAAGTGCGAATCGGTTTAGGATACTTAAGAGGCCTGGTAAAGTGTAGGGTTTAGGGTTTAGGGTTTAGGGTTTAGGATTAGTCGGGTTTAGGGTTCAGGTTTTAGGGTCAACAGGCTTTAGGGTTAAGGATCCCCCAAGAGTCCTGCATCGCTTGCCAGGCCGGCGACAACGTCGGCCCATACGTAGCCCGCGGCCCTGTCACCGGGGTTCGGAGGACCCCAAGGTCCAAAGTAGCTGAATGGAGGGATGTACGTTAAGAAACATGGATGGTCAGTTCTCTAGATTATGGCTCCTTTTTGGGTACCCTAGATTTTAGGGGCCGCCGTAGAATAGCAACCTGGAAAAAGGGACCCAAATAAAGAGGATTGACCTTACGAATTTAGACGATCGGGTGGCTTCGACGCTCCGACTAGAGGGAGGAAGGAACCTTTGAGCATGGGAATGAATGAGTTTTTGCCAAGGGTCGCGGTCCCCAGACACTTCTGGCGGCCGACGTACTGTGGACCTCGGATTCGAAGCCTTCCCCTTCCGTAGTTGAGGACAAAGGCTGAGCTTGTGCACTGCTAGAGGCCCCGTCCACGAAGGCTTGGCTCAACCTCGCACGACAAGCCTAAACTTTTCAGACCTTGAGCCCTGAACCCCAAAATCCGGCAGTCGAGGTGAAGATCAATCCGAAGCCGGCCACCACGAACGTCGCGGCCAACCACCTTCAGGTCCGTAGCCAGGCCGACCTCTGCCACGTTTCTCTTCCAGCCAGCGCCCCCCTTTAGCCTGTGCCGTGCGCACGGAAACTTCAGGGGTATAAGGAGGACCCTTAGACGGGACCCTTACTCATATTCCCGGATATATAGCCCTTTATACATGCACATTCTATGGTCCCTATATAGACATGTAGCCCCTGAATAGCCCTTGAGGTCCCTTATAAGGGTTCCTCCCTGAGTCCCTTGAGAAACCCTGAAGCACTGATTGGGTACTACGTAAGCTAAGCAAGTGCCGTAACCGTAAGTACGGTCAGCACAGATCACCTGGCTTCTATGGCGCTACTTGTCTTAAGGCTTAAGCCACTTACAACAACTTCAATAAGAAGGTAGGAGCGCCTGTAGCGCGACGTGTGTTTGTTGGCATGGCCAGAATGTGGAATGTGCTGAAACCCAGGCAAAACGCACATGTCTGCTTAAGAATTGCTATGTTGCAGGGGCCGAAAGTGTGTAACAGTGTCTATTTTCGAGCGACCATGACGTTCCCGCCTAGGCAAAAAGCACATTTCGCCGCGGACCGTCTGAGAAACTTTGTTCAGCTGCACTTGTTGGCGGCTTCAGCTGGCTTAACGGCATTTAGGGTTTCAGGCGAAACCAAAGCCCCAAACCGTGCACCCGAAACCTACAACATGAACCCCTGTGCTCTCGAAAAGCACGTAACCACCCCCCCCCCCCCAACCCCCCCCCCCCCCCCCCCCCACCCCCCCCCCCCCCCCGCCGAAAGTGTGTAACAGTGTCTATTTTCGAGCGACCATGACGTTCCCGCCTAGGCAAAAAGCACATTTTGCCGCGGACCCGTCTGAGAAACTTTGTTCAGCTGCACTTGTTGGCGGCTTCAGCTGGCTTAACGGCATTTAGGGTTTCAGGCGAAACCAAAGCCCCAAACCGTGCACCCGAAACCTACAACATGAACCCCTGTGCTCTCGAAAAGCACGTAACCACCCCCCCCCCCCCCCCCCCCCCCCCCAACCCAAGAATCAACCAGAATCGCCAAAACGAATGGAACGCGCCCGTCGCGTAAGGGGCGCTCCCACCAATAAGAACGACCCATGACCTTCAATCATGCGTGACATATTCTACCGTCTCTTAGCAGGGAATGAGGGAAGCAGATGCCCGATCGAATCCCTTAATGGGTCTGTTTTTAGGGGTGATATAGGGCACCTAATTCCTTCATCCCCTACTAAGAACCAACAAGTACTTGAGCCAGCCTTGATCCAAATCCTCTCTTTCCCAATCCTCAGGGCTGGAGATCAGGGCTGATAGAGTGTAAGGCTTTAGGGTTTACAGGGCTGACTTATGTTTGGGGTTTCCTGGGTTTATGAGGGGTTATAGGGTTTAGGCTCTATAACCCTAAACCCTAAACCCTAAACCCTAAACCCTAAACCTAGGGTTTAGAGCTTAGGGTTTAGGGTTTAGGGTTGAAGGGCTCCTCACATCCCGAGCTCGAACTTCCGGCAGCTTCCCCGCACGGCCGCCTTCTTCGCGGCAGGGTTTGGCACGGCCCGGCTCCCAGGTACCTGGGGCTGAAACGAAGCTCTAAATTTGCGTATTTCCTTTAATAACATCACTATGGGTGTTTCCGAAATTTCTTGCGGGTTCCTTCTTCTAAGTGAGCCCTGCTATCTTGGGGGTCTATACTAGGGGTCCCTTGTTTTCGTAGGCCCCCATAGAATATGAATGGGCTCGGGCGGTATATTTGTTGATGTCTTCGTTTTTATGCGCCAGAACGCTGCCCCAGGGCGGCGCTGGCAAAATCTCAACACAACCTGCCCAAGAAGACCTTGTCCCGTACCCAAAGAGCCCAATATTCCCTAAGGAGGGAATAGCTTAATTTGTGTAGGGATCCTCATTAAGGGATATTGGGATCTTTGGGTAACAGACCATGCCTAATTGATTTACAATCAGAGAATAGAACATCTTTTTATTGGTGCAATGCCATTGCCACTCTAGTGGAAACGTTGGCGTGAACAGGGCCGCGAACAGCTACTACAGGCCGTGAGGCGTGCAGCGAGACTCCTCACTGGAGAAGTGTGCCATCAAGGCCAAGGACGCCAATGCCCGCGAGCTGCCGCAAGAAGTTTGCAGGATGCTCGGGACCGGAAGCGGCGAAAGCGGATCAACCTTCGACCGTGCCAAGACTCCAGCAGAAGCAGCAGAATAGTTCCTCTGATGAGTCGTCCGACATTGCTAGGCGCTAGCAGTTGGGGGGGGGGTCAAGGTTCCCTTAAAAAGGTAACCAACCCTCAGGGTGCCCTTAAATAATTCTGATATGATTGCGGGACCACCAAGCTATAGAAAAATGACCCAACCAGGATTCTTGAAGTGCAGCGTTGCCGCGCGGTACCAGAGATCGTCCTTCCCCTTACGACCGAAGGGGTTTAGGGAGCTTAGGGTTTAGGAATTAGGGTTTAGGGTTTAGGGTTTAGGAATTAGGGTTTAGGGTTTGCGGCATGCACGTACTGCCGTATTCCTGATGGTTTTTTCAGGGACGAGCACTTTTCGATAACAACCCTACTCATACGTCTAGGGTGTCGGGGTTTAGGGTTCCATCCCAAAGTGCCCGGAGCAGTCAAAAGCCTCGAAGTGTTGCGGCTACTGTAAGGCTTTAGCCCCTCGAGAAACGACCTGGCCGAACGCAAAGTCTCTAGACCTCAATCACAAGCCAACGACCCCTAAACCCATAAAGCCTGTATACCCGTAAGCCCTAAACCCAAAATCAACAGACTGGCAACCTCGGACTCCATGCCCAAAGACCTGAAACCCCGAACCTTCCGAAAGAGCTTAGCAAGACCGAGGCAGCTCTGGCGGGCTTGGCCGCTGTCGCTTACGCCCGGGGTTTCCGCTTGCGCGGAGAGGTCGCTCGAGGGGCTTTGCGAGGCTTTTGAGGCTTCTTGTGTGTGTGTACTCGTTTAAGCACCTGCAAATTCCAGAATGTTTCCCCTCCAGTACGTACCCTAAAAACACTCCCTAAACCCTAAAACTAAGCCCTACACCCAAGAGCGATTCGTTTGTGAGGCTAGGGAGTAGGGTCCTGAGGGGGGGACCTTGAGAAAGAAGGGGTTCTTGGGCCGATAACAGACTTCTTGCGGCTGGACTATTTGACAATTTCCTTCTGATCCCCCTTCGGGTTTTTTGTTGTTATATTTTTTTTGGGACCCTCATAAGACACCCAGAAGTCTGGGCGTGGTTTGCGTTTGGGGAAGCAGGGGCCTCTTGGCAGTCTGGTTTTTCATTGCTGCGGGGGATTGACAGCAAAAGCTAGAGGTGGGGCAAGGGGCAATGAGCGCTTAGAGAGGCAAGCAAAGTGCCCAGATCTTCCGAAACCCCTTAATGAAGGAATCTACCCTAATTCATACTAAGGATCCTTAGTATAAATTAGGTATATTCCTTAATCAAGGGGTTTTGGAAGATCTGGGTGTTCTCAGATCTGTTCTTAGACCCTAAACAGGCTCTATAAGGCTTAGGCTGGTTTAGGGTGTTAAGGGTTGCTTTTTCATCAAAGGAATGCAGCCACCTTTTTCTGAACAGGGGACCACTCGGTGAAGAGAGCGGATCTGCTCTTGCGCAAGCAAAGGCTGAAGAGGCTAACTCTTTCCTGAGCAGACGAAAGACCCAAACCCTGTCATCCGGCTGACCGTTTTCCGTAGAATGCAGCAGGTCGTCCTCAAGACTCAAGACCACCACACGATTCCTACTTGAACCCCAAGATTGGCCAGCACCAACTCCCAGTCCCTTCGCCCTGGTAAGTACACCACACTCCTGCGAGGTGGAGCTGCCGAAGACGGGGAGCCCACAAGGGGCCGCCGAAAGTTAGAGTTCTTTAGCTCAGGATGTTTTTGTTGGAGGGGGGGGGGGGGGGTGGCCGGATTAGGGTTAGGGTTACCAGCTGTAAGTCATCATGTAGCACGAGTTTTCTCATGCCACGCAAATGAGGTTCCAGTCCAGTAGCATCACACGAGCTTACCACTACATTCTCCGAAACGCGCTTTTGCGCGCTGTCGGTGGCAGTAGCAGCACGGCCGGGTCGCATGGAGCTTCCGGGAGAGGATAGCCTCCATGCGGTTTCAGATGATTGGTTTCACACGCTAGCTCCGAGGATGAGATGGGGGTTGCTGATGCGGGACTGAAGTTAAGTTCCCATAATGTTGTTTTGGCAGTAGAGGTAGCTTAATTTAAGTTCCGCGACAGCAACCCAGATAACGGTGACCCGAGAGCACTCCGACACCCGCATATGTTCGCAAGAAACAACGTGAGAACGCTTCTGAACAATTGTGAGTCAGTCGGTTTCCAACTTCTCAAGTGAGGAAGTTACCGAAGTTGTCACACATCTTCTTACACTATAATGAGACAGCGTGGGCGGGGGTTGTGTTCTAGCTCACGCGCCGTTTTTGCTGCGCTCCATGCCCGAAGCCATATATGAACCAGTAACATACAGTTAAGAAGGTCCCCATGCTGTGGCTCATGGAGAGCGAAGAGGCGAAGGCACGAGCGATCCTGGGGATGATGTGGGCTCACCTCAGAGTCGCCTCTCACATGGCACGTCGGCAGTCATGAGGAGCAGACCCTAAACTAGAATTTTCGGATCCTTATGTTGCACTATAAGGTAGACTTCTTCATTAGTTCAGGAGCATATTGGCCCCTAAGCCTCAAGCCCATACTCTTGACATTCCTTACTCACGAAATTCTTGGGCTCTCTAAATATGGGGGTTTCCGAAGTTAGGGGTACCTTATTGGGGTTCCTTACATTCAGCGAATCCGATTATTTGGGGACTCAATTAGGGGCCTTAATTCGTAAACCCCATATCGCACGGGGAGCCTACTCGTAGTCTTGATCCGGCGCCATGCGCACCTTTCAGAGTCTGCCTGGCACCAAGCTCGAGGCATAGGGTTTGGGACCTATATGGCCTTATGGGGTTTACAGGGTTTATGGGGCTTACAGGGCTTTCTCTCTTCTTTTTCTGGGCGTTTTGATAGGGTTTAGGATGGGTTTCTAGTGGTACCCAATTATGCCGGCTAGCACGACTGCTCCCGTTTTGAGGGGCGCACCTCTCCTGCCTTTGTAAGCCCGGCGGGAGGCAAGCCAGGCACCTTGTGTATTCTACCCAAAGAGCCCAATGTCCCTCATTTAAGGAACATTGCTTAATTTATATGGGATCCTTAATATGACGATTTATTCCCTAATTATTGGGCACCTTGTGTATTCGAAGCTCTTCGGGCAACCTTCGGGGCGTAATATCGGGGTCGCAATAAGTACTGCGTACCCCCATTTCCCCTACATAACTATGCTGGAACCCCCCCCAAAAAAATGAATTAGGGTCACAGTGCATGGTCGAAGGATCTTCAGAGCCATCTTGCGGAGTTCAGAGACCCCTATGGAGCTTCTTCCCTCCCCAAGCAGATCCCTATGTCCTAAACCCAAAACCTGCATGGGCTCTTCCACCCTATAACCCCTTAAGCAGGCCCTTTGGGGTAAGAAGGCCTAGTAGCCCATGCTGGAACCCATGTAACCAGATCCTGTAAGGCGCCCTGAACCTCTCGACTCTCGACCCTAAACCCTAGACCCTAAACCCTAAACCCTAAACCCCCCCCCCCCCCAAAGAACCCTAACCTACAGGAGGCCAGAACTTACACCCTAAACCCTAAAGCCTAAACCCTAACCCTAAACCGACAGCCTTAACCCTAAAACCCTAAACCCTGAACCCTAAACCCTAAACCCTTTCCCCCCCCCCCCCCCCCGCCCCAGGATTCTGGATGCTGGAACTTCTGCCTGTCGGTCCAGGGCCTCGCCTTCTAGGCGCTTTCACCCCTCCACCCAGCAAGGGGATCTTGAACATCACATTGGCTTAGGGTTTAGGGTTTAGGGTTTAGGGTTTAGGGTTTAGGGTTTAGGGTTTAGGGTCACTTTGTGTCCTTTACCCATCAGAAACAGCAACCGTCATGTGCTAACCAGGGTTCCAAGTGCAGTGCGATTCCAACGGTGGTTCCGACGAATCACCAAATTCGCAACCCTAGACCCCAAGCCCCAAGCCCCAGATCCTAATGAACCTATAAACCCTGAATCCTCAGCGAAACCCTTAACCCTTAAACCGTAAACCCTAAACCACTGAAAAGGCGGCTCTTCGCCAGCCGGCCAGCAATCCTGTGGGCGCCGGGCCAGACAGAGGCGCGCCGGCCTCTTGGGTTTAGGGTTTAGGGTTTAGGGCTTAGGGTTTAGGGTTTAGGGTTTAGGGTGGGTTTGCAGATGATAGGTCGGATATGGCTCTTCGGGTAGTTACATGGTCCCTTAGTACGGGCCCTTACAAGGGGACCCCTTATATCTTATATACCCTATACGACCCACGGGCCCATACTTCAGAACCCCTTAAAGAAGGAAAGGGACCAGTGGCCTTCTGCCATTTTTGTTGGGTGGTTCCAGGTTCCCTCATAAAGTAAACAACCCTAACAACGGTACCCTTGCAATATGGCTACTGGGCTATCAAGGGCCCTAAACCCTAAGCCCTAAACCCTAAACCGTGCCTCCCAAGACCCTACGGCCTCACCTATTGAGTGCGAGCCGAAGCTTCAAAGTGCTGGGGACCCCAAAACTAACCGCATTAGTGGCCATGTGCATGTTGTTTGAGCCAGTCTCATGGGTCCTTTTGGGGGGAGAGGGGGTTTAGGGTCTGGGTTTAGGGTTTAGGGTTTAGGGTTTAGGGTTTAGGGTTTAGGGTCCAGGGAAATCCCTGAACCTGGACATCTGGACTAGCCCTTGCACAGACTTATTTTGCGTCACATTGGATCCTCCCATGTCTGAGTACCGCGCTGGTGTGAGTTGCGCGTAGCCGATGCGTAGCTTTTATAGCCACTCTCTGACTACGAGTGGAGGTTTGAAATTTGCTTCATGCCTTAGAGGTTCTTTCCTGGAGCTGTGTTGCAATCCCTGGGCTAACTCACGGACAAAAGTCACTTAGCAGCGAATCTCCACATCGCTATGGTTGACATAGAACACCCCCCAATCCCGAATCCCCAAATCCTACCGCCGCACAGATAGACGACAGCCGCTACGAGCGGCTTGGTGAGAAGATTAGCTGGGGCCTTAGCCAGTCTGACTTGAACCATTGAACGACCTGGGGCTGAGGGTGTGTTGAGCATCACCCTAAACCCTAAACCCTAAACCCTAAACCCTAAACCCTAAACTCCAAACCCTAAGCCCTAAACCCTCTGCTCTTCGTAGGTGTCGTTGGAAGGTGATGTGACATAGGTCCAGGTGCCGGAACATTCTGAATTGCCCCTAAACTCCAAATGGCCCTACAAAACCGACTCTAAACCCTAAAGATTCTGTGTATTCGTCTCTCTCTCTCTCTATATATATATATGTTTATTTACTTATTTACTTGTTTATTCATATGTATATTTTTGTTTACCTATACATAGGTATATCTATATATGTATCTGTATTGCACAAGGTATGTAATTGTCTCGTTTGGGGTGCATCAGCGTGTCCTGACGTGCAGGGGGCATGTGCCGCGATGATGACGGCCCAGGTTTCTGCGCAGCAGCCCGAGATTGATGTTTAGTGTTTAGGGGTCAGTGTTTAGGGTTCAGGGTTTAGGATTTAGGGTTGCGCCAGGAAGCTGCAGCCACATTGTGCATGAATCCTCCTGTGGAATGACGGAGCCAGGAAAAGGCCATGTTCGGAGAGTTGGCAGGTTCCAGAGTGTGTGAGTTAGACCTGTGCGCCAACGTTTCTATGGAATGGCCTGTTTTTTGAGGTCGTGGGCGCGCGAGGTGTGTGCCCTAATGTGAGCATTCTTTGTGGCTGCTGTCGGCACAACATGCAAAACCTCGGGGTTCAATTACAGTTCGGAGGAACTTCGAAGGGTACCAAGGTTCTGGGGTTAAGGAATGTACTTACCAGTGCTGGCACATGCAGCAGCTTTGTGACACAACGATCCTTTCCTTGACAAGTGCTGGAGTGACGAGCCCCCATGTCGATGAGCAGTGCCCTACCTTCCGAGAGAGTGTGCAGTTCTCCGAATTAAGAGAGGAACCTTGGGACGTTCCCCGTTATACTAACAGCCCTCAATGGGGTTATGGTACTATAATCCCTATGAAGGACTGTTCGTATAAGGGGGAACGTCCCAAGAGGAACCCCGCAAGTGCCGTTCGGGGTTTAAACGTGGAGAGAAACACCTGATGCTCGGCAATATTCCACAATTATTGGCCAGTCAAACCCCAAACCCTAAACCCTAAACCTTAAACCGAACTGGTATTTGGGTAGCTTATGATGATATAAATATCGACACGGAAGATCAGGGGATGGTCTTGTGATGAATATGATTGATGAAGAGGCTCCTGTATTGCCTCCTGGCTTTAGAAATGCAGCGGTGAGTCTTTGCAGATGCGAGCTAGGATTCTACGGATTGTTTGAGCCCCGGGTTGGAATTTTGCTTCAAGAACTACTCAGAGCCGGCTACAACCTCGTAAGCCCCTAAACCCTAAACCCTAATTCCTAAACCCTAAACCCTAAACACTAAACCCTAAACCCTAAACCCTAAACCCTAAACCCTCAGGGGAGGTCGCCACTGCGAACACCTTGCGCGGCCTGGCGTCGGCCGGCCCCCTGCACCCCATAGCCTGTGATGTCGAAGCCCTTCAGTCACCTCTCTTGGGAAGGTTTTCTGGGTGTCATATAAACCCTAAACCCTAGACCTTGCACCTGAACACTTGCTGCTACTGTCAGGAAGAGTTTCAACACATTGTCAGTATCGTCCTGTTGCGACTGCTTCTCTGTTCTGTTGCTGTGACGAGCCGTGACGAGTTTGTTTCTCCTGGTCGCGATCATTCGTGTCGGCGGTGAGAATCATATCATGTCGGGGTATCCTGATGCAGCAATCTGGTTCCAGCTTTCTGAAGGGCTCTGACCTTGGCATTTAATCGTGACTTGTCAGCCATGGCAGATGTAAGCTCCCTCATGATGGAAGAGGCACAGGCCAGCGAGAGCGACCTTGCAACATCGCCGGCGCAAGGTTTCTCCTCTCGCTGGAAGATCCATGGTTCTCCTGGCCGTGGCTACCATGGCTTTGGCAACGCTTGCCTTGGTGGGCCATTCCGGGCTGCGTGGCGGGGGAGAGGCCACCGTGGGATCGGCAGTCGAGCTGGCCAGCTTCTCGGAGGAGGTGAAACTGGACAATGAGGTGGTCTTCGGTGGCTCGGCAGGAGACAAGGACCTCAACGGGTGCATGGACCTTCCTCCTGGCAAGCGCTCCATCTCTGTGAAAGGCACGAACACCAAGGTCACGCTCTACATGCTGAGACGCTGCAAGGACTACACGGGTCACTCGCACCAGGTCGGATCTTGCGATGCAAGCAGGCACCCGGATCACGTAGAGCAGGTCAACTTTGGTGATCACGGATGGCTCCAGAATGCCCAGTCTTACCAAATTGAACAGTGCTGAGCAGTCTTTCTGCCGGCCATCATGTAACAGGAGCATCGCTTGAACGCTCTCAGATCCTAAAGGGACCAATACTCTTGATTACTGTAAGGAATGTACCTTAAATCATCATATGCCTATACAATTTAAGGTAGGGGTATTGGGCTCTTTGGGTTGTTCCCTTGTGGCAATCGCACTGTCCGCCTGAGCCTGCGAGAGAGAACAGGAGCGCAGCTATGCGCAAGTGAGCAGGTGCCAACACTTATGATGGAAGATATGAGCAAGTCACTCTTCGCCCAAATACTAGGACCCAGAGCAGGCCCGGATTCCCTTTTTTGAGCCACAAAGTCTTAAATTACTCTGGGTCTAGAAGAGATACTTCTCTCAGTTTTCGTTTCAGAGTGCTATAGACCCCTTCTCGCCCAGCTGAGCTCCACCTCATCTGCCGGCCAGCACACCTAACCCCAGCGATACCCCGCAGCGCTCCACTCGCTTTACTCTTACACCCTAACGCTAAAACCCTGAAACCCTAACACCCTAAATCCTAAACACTAAAGCCCTAAGACCCTGAACCCTAAACCTCTAAACCCTCAACCTCTAAAACCCCGCGTTAAACTTCAGAACCCTAAGCCCAAAAAGCCCAAGCCTTAAACCTTCATGCCTTAGAACCCCAACCCCCTAATTAAACCCTAAATCGCTTGAGCCTAAACATCCCTAAACCTCTAAACCCTAAGACCCCCCTTATAGACCCTAAATTCCCCTGAAGCCCTAAAATCCCCTAGCCCTAACCCTAAACCCTTGACCCTTTAAACCCTAGACCCTACACCCTAAACCCTAAACCCTAAACCCCAAACCCTAGACCCTTTAAACCCTAAACCCTAAACCCTAAAGTCCATGGAGGCATCTGAAGTGGCCAAGAGTCCCATCGAGTTCATGGTGCGCTGGCACGAGGCTCCTCAGAAGTGGGGGGGAGCTCTGGAGGGCAGGATGGAGGGTTCAGGGTTTAGGGTTTAGGGTTTAGGGTTTAGGGTTCAGGGTTGAGGGTTTGGGGTTTGGGGTTTAGGGTTTAGGGTTTAGGGTTTAGAGTTTAGGGTTTAGGGTTTAGGGTTTAGGGTTCAGGGTTTAGGGTTTAGGGTTTAGGTTTTAGGGTTCAGGGTTCAGGGTTGAGGGTTGAGGGTTGAGGGTTTAGGGTTTTGTGTCCTACCCCCTTGTAGAGCCCTTGGCAGACATGTGTGTGATGCATCGTGACCCCGGCTTCCAGCCTTGAAGCCTTCAAGTTCCCTAAACCATAAACCCTAAACCCTAAACCCTAAACCCTAAACCCTAAGCCCGAATTGCAGCAAAGCTGAAGTCTCAACTAGGTAGGGATCTTGGACAGCTTGAGGGACCCTAAGCCCTAAACCCCAAACCCTAAACCCCAAACCCTAAACCCTAAACCCTAAGCCCTAATCTCGGGCGGGTTTGTTGCTGGCAGCTCGGGGGCCAGCCGTGAAGGAGCCGGAAGGGCGGGCCCTCCGCTTCCGCTGCCAGATCCACGAGACCTGGTCTCTGTGGAAGCAAAGGCCGGGATTCTTGGGGCAGATCCCCAAAAAAAAGGGGGGGCCCACTACCTTATAATGCCCCCCATGAACTCAGACAAATCTTTAATCTTACAGGGGCCCAAAACGAAGGTTCAGGGCGTGAACCCTAGACTATACTAGGACCCAGAGTCCAGGGTTGAAAGTTTAGGGTGTAGAGTTAGAAGGTTTGGGGGGGCCCTAAACCCTAGAATCCCCAACAGCCCTAAAAGCCTCTAATCCCTAAACCGAAACAGCCCAAATCACAATTGCAAGCCCTCTAAACTTGAAAGCTTAAAACCCTCAAGCCAACCTTACAGTCCCTAACCCTAAGACCATAAATCCTAAGCTACTTTACTAAACCCTAACTCCTAAACCCTAAACCCTAAACCCTAAACCCTAAACCCCAGGTGGTTTCATGAGATGGACACTCGAGTCCGCAAACCCTTGGCCGTGACGCCCACCACGGACGTCGAGAAGCGGGGAGGCCCAGGACCGCTTTTCCGGGGTTAGCTGGGGTTTAGGGTTTAGGGTTTAGGGTTTAGGGTTTAGGGTTTAGGATTTAGGGTTTAGGGTTTAGGGTTTAGGGTTTAGGGTTTAGGGTTTAGGGTTTAGGGTTTGCTCTGGCGCAGAAGCTGTGAAGGTTAGGATGCAAACTCGGCTCGAAACAATCGGGAAATGCGACGAGCAGCCATGGCAGCACATTCATTCATTCACACCCCACACCGAGGCGGCAAAACCACCCAAACAACCTATTCCGTTTACGGCATCCTACACCGACGGTCATATTCAGGGGCCCAGAACTCTCTAAATGGTTCAAGGGATGTGGGGAGGGGGGGAACATTGATGTTTTCATAATTTACTTATGTTCGAGGTGCATCCTCTTTCAAAAATCTAAAGAGTATAACGGTATAACATCTTCGGCGCAACCGCACGGGCCCGCCTGTTCCGAAAGACCGAGCCAGTTCCCGCAGTCTACACTCAGCATCTTCACGTCTGGCAACTGACATTCAGGAGTTACTCTGACACCATGAGCATCTGAGGTAGTTTTGCTTTTCTGCGAGTTTTGGTGAATGTGCATAGGGCTCCTTTTGGTTTTAGGGGCAGAGGGTGCTTAGCGTTCAGGCATACTGTACCCATCAGGCTCCCCAGCATGCCTCTGCGTAGTTTCATGGTCCCTTCATATGGTCCCTTACCTTCTTAAAGGGTTCTGATGTATGAGCCCTTGGGGGTTGTATGGGGTCTATTAGGGGTATATAAGGGGTCCCCTGTTAAGGGCTACCGTAAACCCTAAACCCTAAACCCTAAACCCTATAGAAACCCTAAAAAACAGACACAGGGGGACGTTCCAAATTTGTCATGCCGAGGTTAGCCTCCGCGATGGCCGTGTCCCACCGTAAGGCCCCCGTTGGGATGCCGACGCCTGTAGAGTTCCGAGCCCTAGCTTGCTCTAAAATGGTCTTAGGGGGTTTAGGGTTTAGGGTTTAGGGTTTAGGGTTTAGGATCATGATGTGGTTTAGTGGGCTGATGCAGAGTAGAGGGCAATTGGGGGGGGAGCAGATTTGGCCAAGAAAGTCCACGGTCCAAGCGCATGGGCAGTGCTCCACATGATCGTCCCTTTGGGGGGTTCCTTAACACGCAACCTGAGCATTATAATAGGGGCGTCTGCCATATCAAGTCCACAACCCTGAACCCTTAGCTGTGGTGATGCGCAGTTTGGCGGTGTGGCATTGAAGCTGAACCCCAAGAATGACACTGCCGTGCGCTTGGCAGGGCTTGTCAGAAAGCAAACGCCACGTGAGAGCAGACAGTTCAGAGGGCTTTGGGTTTAGGGTTTAGGGTTTAGGGTTTAGGGTTTAGGGTTTAGGGAACCCTAAACCCCAAACCCAAAAAACCCAAAAACCCGAAACTCTCGAAGTTCGCGCTCCAGAATGTCCCCGAGAGACAGAGGGCTCCCCAAACCCGGGCAGGCCCTTTGGAGATTTTGTTTGTCCCTTATTGGATTTTAGAGGGCAGTCGTTTTTGAAACGGTGACAACGGACCAACCTAGAAACTCATAAAAACCTTGCATCAGGTTCTGAGGTGCATTGTAGAATTTTGCAGTTTAGGGTTTAGCGTTAAGGTTTTAGGGTTTAGGGTTTAGGGTTTGAGGGTTTGTCGCCCCACTCCCATGCGGAGTATGAGGTCCTTTCCATTGCGGCCAAAGCATTGGCGACAACGCCGCGGAAAGCGCACAGAGAGGAGCCCGCCCCCCTCGAGCATGATACGGAAAGGGGCCCATTTGCCTGAACCCTGAACCCAATAATATTCAGTCATGTTGGACGCTTTTGTATCCAGGGGTCCCCCCCCCCCACCCCCCCCCACTCCCCACCCCGCAAAAAAGAAAAAAATAGGGGTTTCGGGGATCCTCTATAGGCTGGGACGGGGGCTGGGGGTAGGCCCGGGTAGGCGGCTAGGGGTCGAGGGTTGAGGGGAAGAAGCTTGAGGGTCCAAGCTAGGCTTTGTAGCTCCCTGGCCAGGGGGGCTGGGGATTACAGGCCGGGCACTTCGCATAATTGAGGACCACCCTCATCAATGGGGGGCGTCCCCTATAAGCTTTCGGGAGAAAAACGCTTAATAGCGGCCTGCAACTAAACCGAGTCCAACATTTTATATACATATATATGTATATATGTATATATGCTAAGCTACAAGCATGAACCCACCCCAAACCCTAACCCCGAACCCCAAACCTTCAACCAAAAAACTTTACCCCTAACCCCCCCCCCCCCAAAAAAAAAAAAAAAACAAAACCCTAAAACCCCAAAACCCTAAAACCCTAAAACCCTAACACCCTAACACCCTAACACCCTAAAACCCTAAAACCCGAAATCCCTAAAACCCTAAAACCCTACAAACCCTAAATCCCTAAAACCCCAACACCCTAATACCTGAACACCCTAACACCCTAACACCCTAACACCCTAATACCCTAACACCCTAACACCCTAACACCGTAAAACCCTAACACCCTAAACCCCGCAAACCCTAAAACCCTAAAACCCTAACACCCTAACACCCTGACACCCTGACACCCTAACACCCTAACACCCTAACACCCTAACACCCTAACACCCTAACACCCTAATACCCTAACACCCTAACACCCTAACACCCTAACACCGTAAAACCCTAACACCCTAAACCCGCAAACCCTAAAACCCTAAAACCCTAAAACCCTAACACCCTAAACCCTAACACCCTAACACCCTAAACCCTAACACCCTAACACCCTAAAACCCTAAAACCCTAAACCCCCAAGTCCTCAAGCCGACCTCAGCCTTCTGCTCAGGAGATCGGAGCAGGCCTGGTCTGCGCCCTGCGCTGGCCCAGCATGGACCACAAGGAGGCTGGGGGTTTGGGTGCTTTTGTTTTTTTTTTTTGGTTTGGTTTTTTTTTTGGGGGGTTTTGGGGGGTTTGGGGGGGGGGGTTGGGGGGGGGGTTTGGGGGGGATTTGGGGGGGGTTTTGGAGGGTTTGGGTTTTTTCCCGGTGTTTTGGGTTTTTTTTTGGGTTTTTTTTTGGGTTTTTTGGGGCTTTTTGGAGTTTTGGGGTTTTGGGGGGTTTGGGGGGTTTTGGGGGGTTTTGGGGGTTTTGGGGGTTTTGGGGGTTTTGAGGGTTTTTTTGGGGGTTTGGGGGGGGGGGGTTTCGGGGGTTTTTGGGGGTTTGGAGTACCTTGAAATTTGGGGTTTGCGGTTTGGGGTTTGGTCTTGGCGGTTGGGGGCGCAGGCATCAGGAACAGAGACCATATGACCCAACCCCCAAATCCTAACAGACCCAAGCTCTCTAGCCCACAGGCCCTGAACTACAGAACCTCGCAAAACCCAAAACCTTACACCCTCAACTCCAAAGCCACCCATAGCCCCCTAAACCCTAAACCCTAAACCCTAAACCCCAAACCCTAAACCCTAAACTGCTAGAGTCTGGAGCCTCCCTGACAGGCGGCGAAGTTCGTGTACGGGCACGCCCCTGCCTGAGGGCCGCTTGCTGCAAGTCCTGAAGTTGCCTGTTTCAAGCTGCGCAGGAAGATGGCACACAAGGACAAGGCTTCACATACTGCTAGTTGCCGGCAGTGTTGCAAGCTTCTGCAGGTCTACTGGCGTAGCCCGCCAGACGACGATTGGGAGGCTGAGTGGGATTCTCCAGGGCTCGAAAAACTAAGTTCCGAGCGTCCTTCAGCTCGTTCCCGCGACGCATGGGGGCTGACCTAATTAAGCTATGTGCCCTTGCAGAGTCTAGTTGCAGTATGCAACTAGGTGTTCAGTACCGCATACAAGGGTTCCCTCAAGAAGGCGCATGCACTTGAAACAAGCATTGTGATGGTTGCATCTAGAATTTGGGTTGATGTTCATGCTTTGCGGGGGGTCCTCAAGCAAATCCCAGAAAACACAAAGTAACATCAATTAGAGCAACCGTCACATGAATCACCACTGAGGGCTAGGGCTCGGGACTGCCAGGACGTTGTTGCCAGGTCTCCTGGATCGTCAGGGGGGACTTTGACAAACAGGTTTTCTGTTCAATGAGAGTTTGTATCTTGGGTATTTGCATCAGAACTTCATCAGAACTCACATGATTTTCAAAGGGATGATATTGGGGCTGATTTCGCCTCCCGTATTGGTCGCAAGGCTTCTGGGTAAACGGTGATTTAATGCGTGGCACTTTCGGGATTAGGGTTCCCAGCTGCCATCAGCTCAGCGACTCAGTGACTGCAATGGCGTCGCAGGTCACTGAAGAGTCGTAGGTCAGCAACTTGTGATGGAGGGGCCCTGCATCGTCATCCATCATGGCATGGTTGCCGAAGAACGAAGAACAAACTACTCCGACTCCCCTAAGAGCAAGGTCTCTCTCAGGACAAGGCTCACAAGCCGCAACAATCAGGCAGCCAAGAGTCTTGAGATGTTTGACTTCGGTTTTCGGTCGTAGACAAGCATGCCCCGGTCAGGTCAGGACAATGTCCAGCGATGGCAGCGGCAGCCATGAAAACAGTCAATGTCTATGCTGCCTGCTGTGGAATCTCGAGTCAGGGTTAGTCACTTTGAGTCTTTGAGTCTTTGAACTTCTTTGCCTCCGAGGCAACGCCAGTGCCCACAGAACGTGTTGGTATATGCGTTGGCTCAAGACAGAGCAGCGTCCGCAAGCTCTCGGAGAGTAGTTGGCCGCCGAAGATGGCCTTCATGGCAGCGCGCCAGTTGCCGCATGCCAGACTTCTTGTCCGCTTTCCGGCTCGCTTTGTCAGGTCATCCCCAGCGGCTACGTTCAGATGGCAAGCCGAGATTCCATCGGTGCTTCGGCAGGCTGCTTTGCGTCGCTGTGGTTCCTTGGGTTCGCAAGTCGCGCAGGGCGGTGGGGTCAAGGTCAACTGGTCCGTCTGGCGCGCGGGTGGCTGGACCCCGAGCGAGGAGACCTGGCCCGAGACGCCTCTGGCACAGTACTGGTCTTCGCTTCCTGAGGAGCCTCTGGTGGTAGAGGACTTCTTCGGGCGACAGGCCATCTATCATCGCTTGATCACGATCGATTCTTTGCGCACCCTTTTCCCAGGTCCACAGCTCAAGGGCTGTCCCACTCGCCACTTCCTGTGGGCTTACGCTGTGCAGCTGGACTGGCAGTGGCGCAGCGGACGCTTGGGTGAAGGCCGTGCGATCTCACCTGACAGCTGGTGGGGTTGTGTCAACTACACGCTCTCGGTGCTTCCGTACCTGGCAGCCATGCAAGTGGGTCTCGTTGAGGAGATTCAGCTGCCTCCGCCGCCTGCTGAGTTGGACGTGGCCATGGTCTCTTGGACGAAGTTCTGGCAAGATCTCAAGTTGACCGCAGAGCACCAGGAGGGCGTGCCTCTAACAGAACGCCAATTGGATCAGGTTCAGCAACAACTCTGGCTTTGTCACACGGATTCCATCCACGCGGCTCTCAAGGTCTACCAGGATCAGCTGCTCAAGATGCCCCAGGAGGAACAGCAGTTCGGCTCCGGCTGGGCTCGCTTCGTAGAGGTCATGGCTGCTGTGAGCTGGAGGACCGACTTACAGGCAATGGCTCAGAATGGTGCGGGATACTTACCACTGACCCGCCTTTCTTCAGAGGCGGATGGCAGTGCTGGGGCAAGACCAAGCGAAGTGGAACTTGTCAAGGCGGGCGTGAAAACGGTGCAGCAAGTTGCATCTTTGTCTGAAGGCAACCTCCGACTTATGGTGAGCTTCTTTCGCCGGGTGGGGCGCAACTTCGCGCGTCGGGTTGTCATACCGGAGGTCATTTTAACTCTCACACGCCCGAACCAGGGCAAGCTGCGTCCATTTCTTCGCCTGCTGTGGTGGTACATCTGGCCAAGACAGCGAGATTAATCAATAGGTATTGCGGTCCATGAAGTCACCCACATTCAAATCCGAGGAGGCGTGTGTTGGACGTCTGCAAGGTTTCACGACGCGTGCAGTGAATCTGCATCCGAAAGCCGGCCGACTTTGCCGTGGCGCCTGCCGTGGCGCTGCAGCGCGAGAATGCCCCAGCAGTTCTGCGACACCATCCGGAAGCTGCACTTGTCAAGCTTGCCCTCTCGCATCCAGTCTGCCTGTGCTGGCAGGGTGGGCGTGAGCTGAACCCCCCGGCTTTGGTCCTCGCACACACTCTGGGCAACTTGGCTTTGCCCCTCGTCCTGCATGAAAACGCATCCCCAGCGTAGTTTGTCAGGCTCAGGTGTTGCATAGCGCTCGCCTCGCTGTGTTGGATGCCAAGCACATCTGCGTTTGTTTGGTGAGTTTGGTGATGTAAGGCTGTTTCAAGCGTTCGGGCTGGTTTTGTTCGAGGTTCATGTTTCGTGCAGGCTCCTTCAGGGCGAATTGAGGATTCGGGTTGCTCTACCAAGCTGCAAGCTGCACCTGAAACCCCAAACTGAGGTCTTATACCTCTGAGGCCTATAGGGCAAGGACCCCCCTAAACCGACCGACACAGCAACCTCGGCCGGCCGCCTCTTCGGGCCCAAGAGGGGTGCAAGGGGCCGTTTCCTCTGGGCCTCTCCCCACGGGGCTCGGCGCTGAAGACGGGTTGACCGGGTGCTACTCCCAGATCTTCCACAAAGGAATAGACCCTAATTTGTACGAAGGATCCTGACTATGAATTAGGGTATATTCCTTAATGAAGGGGTTTTGGAAGATCTGGGCTGGTAGGTCGAAAGGGAGAAGCCACAGGCTTCAGAGGTTCTTTTTCAGCCCCTACCAATGAAACTGCTATGGGCAGTGCCCAACATAGGGAATCGGCCCCTACG